GTTACTGGAGACTGGGAACGCAGGGCACGAGATATGGAGACCCCCACTCTGGCAAATGAGAAATGACATGTTTCTTGCCAAAATGGACACAGAGAAGGAATACACATTTTAGAAATAAGATATTGCTTAGTTTTTTCCAGGGTGGATAAAAATCAATGTTGTTGTTTTTTTAAATCAAAAAAAAAATCAGACTAATTTAAATTGGAGGTTTTTTATTTAAATCAGGTTTTCTCCCCCTCAAAACTCCATCTAAAGATAGTTTTAATTAAGATACATTATAGCTCAAAGAGATTTCATCATGGAATAGGGATTATTAATTCTATAGTATGAGACCATATATTAATGTAATGTTTAAGAAAAGTTTTGTAAATAAGTTCCAATAGTTCATGGACTAGGGACCCAATCTTATGGGGTTCCAGGGGCTTCTCTATAGAAAGATTAACCTAAATAATCTATCTAACCAAAAGGACTCAATGCTCAGTCTAGAAGATACCATCAGAGATGCTTAGTTTTGCAGTTCTCAAACTGTGAACTTGTGTCTCCAGAGATAACATGCTTGTTAACAGCAAAAATGTTTTTAAATAACTAATATATAGAGGTGAGAAATAGCAGACCTCAACCCTTGTGTACACAGACTAAATCCCTTACCTCTCTCTAAAAGTGAAAAGTTTCAAAAAGTTCAGTGAATAGAAGATTGTTGGGGGTAGGGTTACCATCCGTCCGTATTTCCCCAGACATGTCCGGCTTTTGCATCTTTAAATAGCCGTCCGGGAGGAATTGGTAACAAGGTTAAAAGGTCGGGGATTTTTCCCCCTCTCCTCCGTCCCTCACTTCCATGAAGAGTGCGGCGCGGCTGATTGGGCAGCTGGGCCTGATTGCGCCGCTCCCATTGGCCTCCAGCAGCCAGAGCCCCTCCCCTGCTCCCCCCGTGCTGCCTGCAGCCCAGTGTAACCAGACAAACAGCCCCACCGGCAGCGTGTTTTGCCTACACGTGGAGCCAGCATCTGACCAGCATGGACATGGTAAGGGGAGTCCCGGGGGGCAGTCAGGGAGCAGGGGGAGGGTTGGATGGGCCTGTCTGGGTGGGGGGTGAATATGGGGTGGGGGGGCAGCGGGTTACATTATTTTGTGGTGCCCGAGCTCCAGCAATATCCAGGGCCGGGGGCCCTGCTCCCGCAATATTTGGAGCTGGGTCTCTCCCCCGGCCCTGCCTGGAGCGGGGCCCTGCCTGGAGCGGGCCCCAGCCTCCCCCTGCTACCCCCCTCCACGCATTCCCCCCCCGCACCCCCCCGTCCCTGCCCGAAAGAAAGCAGCGCGCCCCTCTCCCCTGCCTGCATGTGCTGCCCAAGTAGCACATTCCTACGCCCTCCCGGCAGCAATTGCTGTCTGCTGCCCCAGGGTCCTAGTGCCCCCCATCCACTAATGGCAAGGCAGGCTGCCCTTACCCTGCCCTTCCACCCTAGCCCTGAGCCTCTCCAATGCCCCAAACCCCTCATCCCCAGCCCTCATCCCCCCGCACCCTAATCCTCTGCCCCAGCCCTGAGCCCCCTCCGGCATCATGAACCCCTCATCCTCAGACCCAACCCTCATCCCCCTGCACCCTAATCCTCTGCTCCATCCCTGAGCCCCCTCCTGCATCATGAACCCCTCATCCTCAGACCCACAGCCCTCACCCCTGCATCCCCTCCTATCCCCAAACTCCCTCCCCAACCCCCTCCCCCTTCCCACACCCCCCTCCTGCCCTCAAACTGCCTCCTAAAGCCTGCACCCCCTCCCTTTACACCGCCTCCCACCCCCAAACGCCATCCCAGATCCTGCACCCCTCACCCCCTCCTGCACACCTACCCCCTGCCCTAGTCCGGAGCCTGCACCCAGCACCCAAACTCTATCCCAGAGCCTGCACCCTGCACCCCTTCTGCACTCTAATCCCCAGCCCAGGATCTGCACCCCAGACCTCCTCCCCCCACCCAACCCCCCTCCCAGAGCCTTAGGCAGGTGGGGGGGGGGGGCAGGTTCTGGGCACCACCAAAATTTCTACAAACCTGCCACCCATAAGGGTCGAGGCAGTCAGGGGACAGGTAGGGTCCTAGGGGGGCAGTTAGGGTGGGGGGTTCTCAGGGGGGGCAGTCAGGGGACAAGAAGCAGGGGGGAGTTGGGGGTTCTGAGGGGAGCAGTCAGGGGGTGGGAAGTGGGAGGGAGTGGATGGAGGCAGGGGCGGGGATGGATGGGGCTCCCCCACTCCCCAGTGTCCTCTTTTTTGATTGTGGAAATATGGTAACCCTAGTTGGGGGCAGAATAGATCTGGACAAGGAGAAGAAGTCTGGAAATAAATGGGGGGGGGAGAGAACGGGGACAGGCAGTAGAAACAAAAATTAAACTGTTTGAGCAGCATATTCCAGAAGTCTTGAGGTCTTTCTGAGTGTAGCCTTCATTGATTTGAGATCTACCATACCATTCTCTCACTAGAAGTGAAAACCTATAATGGCAGCAGTCCGTAAAAGAGACCCAGTTTGGGAATAAGAACCATTCAAGAAATATGTTTGCTGCTGATGTTTTAAATAAAGTCACACCAGTGAACTGGTGGAAGTCACTTAAGCACTTGGATTCAGAGACTGTTGTTAAAAGTGAGATTATCACTGCTACACCGGCAGAAGCAGCTACTGCTGTTAGAACAAATATTTTCTTCCTTTGGACTAATTCATTCCAAATTGAGAAATCGTTTGGGCCCTGAAAAAGCAGGAAAGCTTGTTTTTCTTTTCCAGATTATGAACAGGAAAATGAAGGTGAAGACGACTGAGTTAGCTGCAGAAGCCAATATTTTAAGTTTCTCATGTTGACCTGGCTGACATAGGCTATTTCATTTTTGTTTTTGTTTTTTAAATATTTCATTTAACTATTTTAGTTAAAAACTATTTTAACAAAAACAAACCTATTTTAAAAAACTTGAATGTTTAAATTCAAAAATGCATATGCTTGTTTTGCTAAAATATTGTATGTTTGCTGTTGAAAAAAAAATCCAGAATACATAACGTTGTTTTAGTTAAATAAAACAATTTAAATGTCTGTCTGGTGATGTTCTCCTCCTAATATAGCATGGCAAGAAAATCCTCCAAATATTAATGATTAACCTGTTGAACTGGAGATAGTTCATCTCCCAATTACTTCATAAAATATCTGCTTCAGTTACCTTTGGTAAATGAAATAACCAAACAATCATTCATTTTCTGATACAGCTGTAAAACTAATCTGAAAAGTTTTCAAAATAAATCACTGTTTAAAAATGTATAGTGTGTACCTTCTAAAAATGAAACCTACAACGATCTCTGAGTTGTGAAGAATATGTATTAAGATTATAACAACCAACAAGAATGCACTTTTACGTAGAAATCCATGATTAAATCGAGTCTTCCTGATTAGTGATTTAAATCAAACCCACCCTGCTTTTTTTAAAAACACCATGAAGGCACACCTATCTAGATGATTTTCTGCATAGCATATCACTAGATATATATTATGTCTACAGTTAGGTTTAATCCAATTTTCTCTAAATATTTTTAATAGATCTTGTTTTGCTACAATCCCACAGGCTTTAGGATGAAAATTTCAAACCGACCATCACAAAGAGGCTTTAGGATGAGAATTTCAAACCGACCATCACAAAGAGGTTAAACAGTCTTCAGCATCTAAGAAGAGACAATGAGTGAAGACATCTTAAAACTACCTTGCTAAGATTCTCCAGCGAAAAGAGACAAAATACAATCTCTTTCATGAGGCATGTCACTGTAAAAGCACAGTCCTAATGATGCATGAAAAATACCTAACATCTAAGGACAAGAAGAGAGTAAAGGGATATATGGGACAGACCCTGTATCAGTTTCTAAATGAGTGATGCTGAACAGTAACTTACTAAGTGAAATCTTGTCTACACTAAAATTTGTTAGCGTTACCAGCACCATTGCAACCTTCTAGCATGCTACCTGTAACACACCACCTATCCATAAACACAGAACACTTGTTCACCATTGCAATAATACTTATTCTGGGCAGCTGGGTTAAAACACTGGTGATGGTGAAACAGGAGTATAAACTACAAGCAGCACCACTGGTAGCAACAGTGGAAAATTTTAAGGAAAAAAAAAAAGTCTAGTTCTGATACCTGAGCCCCATCCAGGGGGAGAAGTATTTGACTTTACTACAATTACATTGTAATGAATGCAACAGTATGTCTCAGCAAATTCATCCAAATACATTTAACCCAACTTCTACATATAAATTTAAGATTAAATTCTTAAGACAGCGATAATGATGCGTCTCTCTCATGTAAGGAATTATAGACCAATATATGAACACGGTCTGAAATACTAACATCCTTAAATTTTCTTTGAAAGTAGGTTTTATTCTCTTTCCTTTCAGCAGAAAGAAGTCAGTTGAAACAAGCAGTACTAATAAATCTGAAATGTAACCACACTCCCCCACCCCCCCCCCCAAAAAAAAAAAAAAACAGAAATAAGACTGATTTGGAACTAAGTTCATATTAAAGGGACATTGTGAAGCAGATACAAACTTAAATTTAAGGTCTACGGGGGTTATTTTCAAAATCTAAGATCAACTGAAATATTTCCATGATGTTTTCTTTCCTATTAAAAGATATTTTGTTGGATTTAAAAAAAAAGATTGCCCTTACATGCAAGCCAGCCACTGCAGGATTGTGCTAGTGCATGACAGGCAAGTAAGTGAAAATCACTTAGTAAGTGAAATTCAGAGGGAACAAGTCAGCATTAATGGTATAAGTAGTCAGATTTTTTTCTTGGACGTTTCCAATTTCCTAATCTGCTAGGATATTTGTTATAAGAGGTAAAGAAAATTTAGTCTTTAAAAAAATTAGTTTTAAACCTGACAGTGTCCCTTTAAACTACCATAATTTGAGGAATACTAATTAGGTGCCCTACTGTGGAAAAGTTTGCTGACGTGTCTTTCTAAACCAGTGGATTCTATGAACCTGGATATCAGAAAGGCAAAATGGGAACCCTCCAGGAAGAAATTCTACTAAGAGTTTAATATGATGTTTAGGGAACTCCAGAGACTCAGTCAGTCAAGAAATGATTAATGAGGTAAGTGAATCATATCATTCATTTTCCTTCAGAGCATGAAATTAAAATTTCTTGTTGAGAGTAAGGGAGGAGAGTAATGAATAGCACACAGACTTTTGCAGACAAACTGATGATTCAGAAAGAAAGCAGTTTTAAACCATAAATAAGGGAGGGGGGGGAGGTTGCATCAGGAGGCTGCTGCAAAATACTTTTTAATATGTACTAACATAGGACACCAGAATACTCAACAATTTAAGGGGATGTTTTGAACCATGAGACTGATATCAAATGAAAATATAGCAAAGTTATTTGGACAGAAACTGGACAAATACATAAAAAGTATATAATAGGAAAACTAAGACTAAAGGAGAACGAGAGAGGCAATAAACAGGGTCTGACATACAAGTAGTGCTGTTGTTTGGAATTCCTGGCAAACATGTTCCTGACCCCATATTTGCAATATAAGGTATTGGTAAATGTTGGTTTCTCAGTTACAGCATATTATAGGCTTTGCAATACTGATCAAGATCCATTGCCACATAGTGATCCACCTGCTAAAACCTGCTGAATTAGGATCGGAGCATATGGGATGACTGAAGAAAAGAACCTCTCCTTGGTTAGGTTTTACCAGTCCTGGTTATGAGCTCAGATAACTGAATTGGTACAGCATCCGACTTTTAATCTAAGGTTTCATGGTTCAAGACCCTTTTTATGCAGTATTATTTAAGGAAAGATGGTCCAATGGCACTAGCATGGGACTCAGGAGATGTGGGTTCGATTTCCTGCTCTACCAGACTCCCTTGTGTGACCTTGAGCAAGTCACTTAGTTGCTCACCAGGGAGTTGTGAAGATACAGACTAAAGATTGTGAGCTCAGATACTCTGGCGATGAGGGCAATATAAGCACAAAAGGTAGGTTAGTCTAATCACATGCATATTGTCAGTCTCTCCTGTGTAATATGGTCATGCAGCCAAGTCACTTGCTGCATAATTGCAGAATTTTTTAATTGTTCTATTGTAGGGCTCAAGAATCAAAACTTCCATGTGAAAAAAATGAAGTCCCTATTCCTTATCACTGCTTATTAAACAGAATCAAGATAAAAGTACAAATCATCAGGTATGCCCAAACTCTACTTGGTGTATTTGAGAAGGGGTAAGTATAATTGACTTTACAATCTCTAGTCCCCCACCCCCATCTTGAGGAAGCCAATGTCTGGATTGGTTCTCTCTCAGCACAAGTTAGAACCCTGGGACATTCCACCAATCCCAGATGACCAGAGCAGAAGTGTGTTCCAGCAAAACCCCAACACACTCATTACACAGTGGGGTGAGGAGAAGCAGTAACAAGTGGCCTAGAGAACAGATGTTCTTCCAACACAAGGGGAATCCTCAGCAGCCCCATTATAGAATCATAGAATATCAGGGTTGGAAGGGACCTCAGGAGGTCATCTAGTCCAACCCCCTGCTCAAAGCAGGACCAATCCCCAGACAGATTTTTGTCCCAGATCCCTAAATGGCGCCCTCAAGGATTGAACTCAGAACCCTGGGTTTAGCAGGCCAATGCTCAAACCACTGAGCTATCCCTCCCCCCCATCCCGCAACACAAAAAGGAATGAGCAGAAGACAAATGTGCTTATATGTGTTGGAGGAGTTTTTTGTTGGAGTAGCAAAAGCTGGGGCAGCTAGCTGCAGTGGTGGGCAGGGGAATGAAGAATTCAACAATGTAGTTACTGTGCAGCAGCACGGAAATTAGAAAATAGAGCTGAAGGGGAGGATGGAGGGGAGGGGGGGGAAGAGAAGAGAAGTGAGAGTTTCCTTCTTGACAGGAACTTAGGAGGGAAGACTATGACAGCAGCAGGAGATAGCAACGGTAGAGACCCAAGGAATGAAAGAGACAATGAAGACGACTGGGTATAAAAGCTGTGGTATGTACATTATTCTGGAGAGGGTACCTAAAAAGTGATTCATTTGTATTAAGTGCCATCTGATAGATCTGATGCAAGAGAAGATTTGAGGTTTGGAGTTGCAGTTAGAAACTATAGCTGAGTTTTGAAGGGGATTTGAGTGGATAGAGGAAAGGAAAGGAGGAGCCTGAAGGGAAGCCTCAAGACTTGCAGATGCATGCTGGACCAGAGAACTGTGAGGGTAAACTGCTGGATTAAGAAAGTGAACAGTGGAAGCATGCGACTATGAGAACAAAGGCAGAGGAACAGACCAACTAGTGAAGAAGAAAGAGCTGAGGAACAGGTTTGCTGATTTGGAAAAAGAAGGGGAGAAGCAGACAGTAACAGAAGATGGGAGAGAAGGAAGAAGAAAAGAGCGCTAGTCCTACAAGAAGAGGGGAAGAGACAATAGAGATAGCCAGAGGATGACTCGCTGAAGATTGCAAGTGAGAACAGAAGACAATATGACTTGCAGCCAGAAAGAAGAGGGAAGGCCAGAGAATCGCACCAACACTGGAAGAAGCAGATCTACATGACTGGGACCTCCCTACTAAGAACAGACAGGCCTGTCACCAGAGCTTATCTGGAGAACAGAAGGATGTACTGTTTGCCAGGAGCAAAGATACAGTATGCGGACCTGAAGCTGAAGGGGATCCTAATGGAAGCTGGAAAGAATCCACAGACTGCTTCCCACATGAAGGACAATGATATTGCTAGATTCTTATGGGATGCATCACCAAGGAAGACTACGCCAGGCTGAGGAAGATGCTTAAAGAAATGGAGGTACAGGTGATCTTCACTGGGATTCTACCTCTCCCCGAGGAGAAAAGTGAAGACAAGACAAGAATATGTTGATCAACAGATGGCTCAGGCAATGGTGCTATAGGGAGCAGTTTTGTGGTATTCGACGACCGGCAGGCATTCACAGAGGACTGTTCTTATGTGATGGATGCCACCTGAATAGGGAGGGAAGCAGTCTTCTGGGATGGAGGTTGGCACAACTAATTAAAATCTTTAAACTAGGAATTTGGTGGAGACAGTTGGGAGATGCTCATATAATCACCACGCCTAATTCTACTGTGGAGCAAGAAGAAAATCAAGTGGGAGGATCCAGCAATGGAGAAAGAAACAACAGAGGGTAGGAGAATGGTCAAGAGGAAAGATAGTGCCAATACCACTGACAGTAACAGTCAGGTAGGCGATACAAGCAATAAAATGACTGCACCTAATTGGACAAGGAATCTGGCTGAGATCAAAACAGAAACAGCTAAGATGTTTGTACACAAATTCAGGGGGGCCTGGTAACAAAATACAAGAGAAAACCAGATATTTTAGGGATAACAAAAACAGGGGGGATAGTAGTCTGGAATACAAGTGTTGAAAGATAAATGCTGTTCAGGAAAGACAGAAATAAAAGGCAAAGGTGATGGAGCAGCACTGTATATTAACGATGAAGTAGACTGTCAAGAAATTAGAAGTGATGGAATGGATAAAACAATCTGTTTGGGTCAAAAATCGCTTTGGGGAAGAAAACTAACAGACGCTCTACCTCAGTGTTTCCCAAACTTGGGACACCGCTTGTGTAGGGAAAGCCCCTGGCGGGCCGGGCCGGTTTATTTACCTGCCGTGTCCGCGGGTCTGGCCGATCGCAGCTCCCACTGGCTGCGGTTCACTGCTCCAGGCCAATGGGAGCTCCTGGAAGCAGCGCAGGCCGAAGGACATACTGTCCGCCGCTTCCAGCAGCTCCCATTGGCCTGGAGCAGCGAACCAAGGCCAGTGGGAGCCACGATTGGCCGGACCCGCGGACACGGCAGATAAACAAACCGGCCCGGCCCGCCAGGGGCTTTCCCTACACAAGCGGCATCCCAAGTTTGGGAAACACTGCTCTACCGGGATAGTGGTTGGGGTCTCCGATAGACCCACATGATGCAATTTGGATATGGTCAGAGACCAATAATATTTTTAATGAAATAAATACTGTTGGGAATTTTGTGATTATGGTAGACTTTAATCTCCTAGATTTAGACTGAAGGACAAGATATTGCTGGATGTGATAGTCGACAGATTTCTTCACCCAATAGTCACTGAACCAACAAGAGGTGATACCATTTTAGATTTAGTATTGGTAAGCAGCAAAGACGTCATAGAAGAACTGGTTGTAGAAGACAGCTTGGTTTGAGTGATCATGAGTTAACTCAATTTAAACTACACCTCTACCCCGATATAATGCGGTCCTCGGGAGCCAAAAAAATCTCACCATGTTATAGGTGAGGCCGCGTTATATTAGGGTAGGGAGAGGAACCGCTCCCCGCCCCAGCTCACCTCCGCTCTGCCTCCGCCTCCTCCCTGAGCGCGCCGCTGCCGCTCCGCTTCTCCCCCTTCCCTCCCAGGCTTGCCGCGCCAATCAGCTGTTTGGCGCGGCAAGCCTGGGAGGGAGGAGAAGCGGAGCTGAGCAGTGTGCTTGTGGGAGGAGGAGGAGGTGGCAAAGCGGAGGTGAGCTAGGGCGGGGAGTGGTTCCTCTGCACACACCCCCTTACTTGCTGCGGCCCCCCTGCCCCAGCTTACCTCCGCCTCCTCCCACGAGCGCGCCGCAGCGCCACTTCTCCTCCCTCCTAGGCTTGCTGCGCCAAACAGCTGATTGGTGCAGCAAGCCTGGGAGGGAGGAGAAGCGGAGCTGCGGCACGCTCGTGGGAGAAGGCGGAGCGGAGGTGAGCTGGGGTGGAGGGGGGCCTGGGGAGGGCTGCAGCAAGTAACGGGTGGGTGCAGAGGAACCGCTTGCGGTAACACAAATTCGGATATAACGAGGTAAAGTAGCCCCGTCCCCCAAAGCGCTGCTTTACTGCGTTATATCCGAATTCGCGTTATATCGGACCGCATTATATCGGGGTAGAGGTGTATATGGAAAGAAAAATAGGTCTGCAACTACAGTCCCTGAATTTAAAAGAGCCGAATTTAAAAACATTAAGGGAATTAGTTAGGGAGATGGACTGGACTGAAAAACTTGAGGATCTGAACGCAGAGGAAGCTTGGAATTATTTTAAGTCAAAGTTGCAGAAACTATCTTAAGGCTGCATCCCAAACAAGGGAAAAATATTTAGAGGGAGGGGTTGCAGACCAACCCAATGAAGAAGCATATCAAAACAGAAAGCCTAGAAGGAATGGATCAGCAAGGAAAGCTACCTCTTGGAGGTCAGAAAATGTAGGGGGAAAGTGAAAACTGCCAAAAGCCAAGCGGAGTTGGACATTGCAAAGAAAATTAAAACCAACAGTAAAAGGTTCTTTATCCACAGAGATACAAAGAAAACAAGGAAAGAAGAAGTGGGACCACTAAGCATTGAGGATGGGATGGAGATTAGAGATAACACAGGTATGGCCCAACACCTAAACAAATACTTTGCCTCAGTTTTTAATAAGGGCACTGAGATGCTTGAGATAGTGGCAGGGTGGCTAACAGAAACAAGGATATGAAAGTAGAAATTACCACATCTGAGGTGGAAGCTGAACTCAAACAGCTTAATGGGACGAATTGGGGGACCCGGATGTTCTCCATCCAAGAACATTAAGGGAACTGGCACATGAAATTGCAAGCCCAATAGCAAAAAAATTTAATGAATCTGTAAACTCGGGGGTTATAGCCTATGACTGGAGAATTGCAAATAATACCTATATTTAAGAAAGGGGGGGAAATGATCCAGGAAACTACAGACCTGTAGTTTGACCTCAATTTTATGCAAGGTCTTAGAACAAATTTTGAAAGAGAAAGTAGTTAAGGATATAGAGGTAAATGGTAATTAGGATAAGATAGAACATGGTTTTACAAAAGGTAGATCATGCCAGACCAACCTGATCTCTTTCTTTGAAAAGATAACTTCTCGACGAAGGAAATGCAATAAATCTAATCTACCTGGGTTTCAGCAAAGCATCTGATACAGTTCCACATGTGAAATTAGTTAAATTGGAGAAGATGGGGATTAATAAGAATCAAAAGGTGGGTAAGGAACTGGTTAAAGGGGAGACTACAATGGGTCATGCTGAAAGGTGAATAATAAGAGTGGAGGGAGGTTACTAGTGCAGTTCCCTCAAGGATCCATCTTGGGACTAATCATATTTAACATTTTCATTAATGACTGTGGCACAAAGAGTGTATGTGAGCTAATAAAATTTGCACATGACACAAAGTTGGGAAATATTGCCAATATGAGGAGGAGGAGCAGAATAACATACAAGAAGATTTGAGCAACCTTGAGAACTGAAGTAAAAAAAATGGGACAAAAATCAATACTGCAAAGTCATGCACTTAGGCTAACAAAGATTTTTTGCCAAAAGTGGGGGACATATCAGTTGAAAGCAGCAGACGAGGCACAAGACCTGGGTGTATTGGTCAATCACTGGATGACCAATTGTCGCCAATGTGATGCAGCTGTGAATAAGGCTACTGCAATCCTAGGAAGCATCAGGTAAGGTATTTCCAGTAGAAATAGGCAAGTGTTATTGACATTATACAGGGCCTCACCGGTGAGACCTCATCTGGAATACTGTGTGCAATACTGGTTAAAACTGGAACAAGTGCAGAGAAGGGCTATTAGGATGATCAGAGGAATAGGAAACCTACCTTATGAGAGGAGACTTAAGGAGCTAGGCTTGTCTAGTCTAACAAAACTAAGGATGGGGGGGTGATATGATGGCTCTCTATAAATACATCAGAGGAAAAAACACCAGGGAGAGAGAGGAGTTATTTAAGGTAAGGGCTAATGTTGGTGGAAGAACAAATGGATATAAACTGGCCATAAATAAGTTTAGGCTCAAAATTATGTGAAGGTTTCTAGCCATCAGAGGAGTGAAATTCTGGAACAGCCTTCCAAGGGGAGCAGAGGGGGCAAAAAACCTAACTTGTTTTAAAACTTATTATGGAGGGGATGGTATGATGAGGCTGCCTAGAATGGTATATGGCCCATCCATGATTGTTATTAGCAAATTATCTCCAGCTGCTGGAGATGGGACACTAAAGAGGGAGGGCTCTGAGTTACTACTGAGAATTCTTTCCCAGAATGTCTGGCAGGTCTTGCCCACATGCTCAGGGTATAACTGACTGCCCTATTTGGGGTCAGGAAAGGATTTTCCCCTGGGTCAGATTGGCAGACACTAGGTTTTTTTTCACCTTCCTCTGAAGCCTGGGGCATGGGACACTTTCAGGCTTGAACTAGAGTAAATGGTACATTTTCTGTAACTTGCACTTCTTTAAATGAAGATTTGAGGACTTCAGGAACTCGGCCAGAGGTTATGAGCCTGCTACAGGAGTGGGTGGATGAGGTTCTGTGGCCTGCAACATGTAAGAGCTCAGATGGATCATAATGGTCCCTTCTAGCCTTAAAGTCTATGAGTCTGAGTAAATACAGAAATCTGTAGCACATTTAAAATTGTGCAAGTGTAAGATTAAACTTAATTTTATACCAAAATGCATAGAGAATATTAGGATTGGAATGAACTAAAGCTAAAATCCCCATATAGGGCATAAGGCCTCGTATGATGTATATGCTTGAGTAAGCAACTTGCTTTTTAGACTATTTCAGAACTTGTACATGAAAACAATGAGGAATCCGGTGGCACCTTAAAGACTAACAGATTTATTTGGGCATAAGCTTTTGTGAGCATAAGGTTTCTTCAGAAGTGGGGGGTTTTACCCACAAAAGCTTATGCCCAAATAAATCTGTTAGTTTTTAAGGTGCCACCGGACTCCTCATTGTTTTTGTGGATACAGACTAACACGGCTACCCCTCTGATACTTGGAACTTGTACATGGTTTCTCTTTTGCTGCGTAGGTGTATTTTTTAATATCTTAGTTTCTTAGTACTGGAAAGTAACCATTCCGAAGGCTGCCACATATAATTTGGAGAAGAAAACTCAAGTCTGTTCAAGTAACATCTACACACAGAATTATAAAAATAAACGAAGATAGCTGAAGCTCACATCTATGTTGAAGATTAGAAGAAAGGCTCACCCAGACCATAAGTGAAAAATATCACCCACACGGCTGTTCGGTTTGCAAAACCAATTTCCTTTTGTAGTGGATTATTTTAACATATTTATTAGTTTTCCATAAGATATAGCCATTATAAGTATGAATTGTTAACACAATACACAATATAATAAACACTAAAATCTTGTATTGCATGTTTACATCAAATTATGTCTTGAATTTCTTGAATTAGGACTTGAATTTTTTGTATTAATTTAGAATCTGGTTTAGACTGAGTTTGAAAAGGGAAGAATTAATTTTCAGTCACTGAGTTTTATTTCAGTTTTTTTCCCTTTAAAGCATGGCAGTTGTACGCAATGAAGGTTTAATCCAGGAAAGTTGAATTCTGTTTGTCACAGCCCAAGCTGTTTCAATGTGTTATTATGGAAAAGATCTTTAGTGAGAAGACAGCCTTAACTGGCCAGATGTTATATAATTTTTTGTAATCCTCTGTAAAGCCAAAAACTGCTGCATGAAAGGTGTCTTTGAAACTGAGTTTTTGCATTTTAGTCCAGATTTCACCCTGCTACATTAGCATATACTCTAAGGCACAAGTTTTCAACAGAAGACACAGAAAATATCATACAGTGGCAGTCTACCAGAGTCTGTTTATTATATATATGGCTGTTCTACTTTCTGGATTATGCTGATGCACTAGACATTGCAGTCAAGTTGCAAGAAAGTACAGAATTATTTTTAACTTTTGAGTGACTATAGGGAAAAAAATTAAAAACTGAGAGACTAACAACACTAGATTGGGTAAGACAGTTCTGGAACTTCTTTCCACTTAATCCTGTCAAGGCAGGTTAATGCTCACATGAAATATCCACCTAATATTCTTGTCCTGGATCTCTCACAAACTGCCAATTAAGCAAAATCATTGTTGGAGCAGGAGCGGGGAAGATGTTGTGAGCCTGACAACCCAGAAAAGAGTATGAACCCAGATGTACATTCTCTCTAACCTAAGGCAGAATTTACACCCAGGTTTCCGGAGGAAAAAGCTCAAAAAGTCTACCTTGTTAGTTTTTGCACCGCTCATCAGTAAACCTGATAAGACTATCTTTTTCTGGGCAGAACAGTTTTATGCATTCTGTTTTGTCAATGCCTAAATAGTGTTTTAATTTTGTAACCACGCTTATAGGCAGTCTGCCTCCCCAAAGGAGCCTGCACTGTAGTAGCCACACTCATGTGGTAAAACAGACCGAAAAAATCAGGAATAGCAGAGCTCATTGACACAAACTCTTGTTCTCTGAAGCATCTCTGCCACTGCCCACTAACATTAAGACCTGGTCTACACTTCAAAGATTTGGTGGTATAGCTATATTTATTAGGAGTATGGGATATGGGGAAGGGAGGGGGATGGAAATCACACCCCTAACCAACATAGCTGTACTAGGGTTTTTGCCAGCATTGAAACAGTTATACAAGCAAAAAGGGCAGTATAGCTTATTTTGCTTAAGGAACTGGTATAAGTTATACCAGCCAAAGAGTGCTGTTGCTGGTACAACCTGCATCTCCACTAGTTAGGTCATGTCTACACTAGAGAGTTTACAGCAGCACAGCTGTACCAGTGCAGCAGCGCCAGTGAAAGATCTCTCGTGTAGCTGCCCTATGCCAATAGGAGAGAGCTCTCCTGTCAACATAATTAAACCACCCCGAATGAGCAGCAGGAAACACTCTCCCTTTGACAGAGCGCTGTCCACACCGGCGTTTCTGTCGCCATAACCTATGTCACTCAGCGGTGTGTGTTTTTCTCATGCCCCTGAGCGACATAAGTTATACTGACCAAAGTGCTAGTGTAGACATAGCCTAGGAGGGAGTGGCAGTATATCTATGCTGGTATAACTACCCTGGCAAATCCTTTCTAGTGTAAATGGGCCTATGGTATTTTTGTGGGTTTGAGTTAACGTCACAGGATCCCTTTATTAAAAAGCTACACTGACCCTGATCCGAGACTGAAAGCACTTATTTCTCCATTCCAAGATGTACACAGCATTTTCATATCAAGTGTGTGATTCATAAAGTCTAAGGCCAGAAGGGACAACTGTGATTATTTAGTCTGACCTCCTATATAACATAGGCATCAGAACTTCTCCCAAATAATTCCTAGAGCAGATCCTCTAGAAAAACATCCAATCTTGTTTAATAATTATCAGTGATGGAGAACAGACCGCAACTCTTGATAAATTATTCCAATCGTTAGTTACCCCGACTGTCAAAAATCTATGCCTTATTTCCTGTCAGAATTTGTCTAGCTTCGACTAACAGCCATTGGATCATGTTACAACTTTCTCTGCTAGATTGAAAAGCTCATTATTGAATATTTGTTCCCCATGTAGATATTTACAGACTGTGATCAAATTACCTCTTAACCTTCTCTTTAAGCTAAAGAGATTGAGCTCCTTGCATCTATTGCTATAAGGCAGGTTTTCCAGTCCTTTAATCATTCTCATGGCTCTTCTCTGAACTCTTTCCAATTTATCAACATCCCCTTCTTGAATTGTGGGCACCAGAACAAGATAGTATTCAAGCAGCTGTTGCACCAATGACAAACCGTAAAATAACCTCTCTACTCCTACCTCGAGATTCCCTTGGTTATGCATCCTAGGATTGCATTAGCTCTTTTGGTCACAGCATCACATTAGGAGTTCCCACTGAATATCCACCCCAAATGTTTTTCAGAATCAGTGCATCCCAAAATAGAGTCCCCAATCCTGTAAGTATGACCTACATTCTTTGTTCTTAGACGTATACATTTACATTTGGCCATATTAAAAACGTGTATTATTTGCTTGTCCCCAATTTATCAAAAGAACCAGTTCACTCTGAATCAGTGATCTGTCCTCCATTATTCGCCACTTCCCCCATTTTTGGCCCATCTGCAAACGTCATCAGTGATGATTTTGTGTTTTCTTCCAGGGCTTTGATTTAAAAAAAACCCAAAACATTAAAAACCATAGGGCCAAGAACCAATCCCTGTGGGATGCCACTGGAAACATAGTCACTTGATGATGACTCCCTGTTTACAATTATATTTTGAGACCTATCAGTTAGCTAGGTTTTGATCCATTTAATGTGTGCCATCTTAATTTTATATCATTCTAATTTTTTAATCAAAATGTCATATGGTACAATGTCAAACAGTGTACAGAACAGAAAACCCATGATCAAATTAGTCAAACCTACCACCCAATGAATGAGTTTTATGAAATAATAAACTGCTTTATTAAAACACAGCATTAGCATGTCCGGTCATAAGCTGTGAGGGGAAAAACAAAATTATTTTTCACTTACGAGAGTCAGATTTTGCTTTTATTGATTCTAATTAAGGCTACGATTTGGTCACAGAGGTTGCAGAAGTCATGGAATCCGTGACTTCCACAGACCTCCGTGACTTCAGCCTGCAGAGGCAGGGAGCTGCAGGCTACCCCCACCTCCCACGGTGGCCAGGAGGTTCGGGGTCCCCCTGCCGCCTGGAAGTGGAGGGAGTCCCCCTGCCGCCTGGAAGTGGAGGGAGTCCCCCACAGCTCCCCAGCCACCATGGGCAGCAGGGGTGGGGGTAATGCCCCAACAGCTCCCCAGCCGCCGCGGGTGGTGGGGGCAATGCCACCACCTGCAGGTGGGGGGAAATATCCAGACAGCTCCCCGACCGCCACAGGCAAGGGTCCTTCCCAGCTCCCAGCCATGGGCTGCAGCTCCCAGCCACAGCAGGGCAGGGTTCTGGACCTTCCTCCCTGCCCCGGACATTTTTAGTAAAAGTCAGAGACAGGTCATGGCTTCTGTGAATTTTTGTTAATTGCCCATGACCAGTCCCTGACTTTTAGTAAAAGCGTCCATGACAAAATCGTAGCCTCAATTCTAATGACTATTTATGATTGCAAATGAGAGGACTGCATACTTACAAGTCTGTCTGCAAGGATTTGATTGTTAACAATGTCATCTTTATATTACCTGCTCCTTTTCAAAAGGCAAGTCTAAATGCAGGCTGGGTGTGTGACGCCTCAAGACCAAACCACAGTCACATTAATCTTTAAAAAAAACCTATATACTACAGTATATAATAGCAGTTTCAACATTTTGAGGGGAAAAAGAAAGCTTGCATCAGTGACCATCTCATCTTGACAGCATAGCTATCAGTTGCTGTAGAACAAATGGTTTGTGAATTTGTAGTAAGATCTAATAAACCAGCACAAAAAACTCAACCACTTTTCAATATTAAAATATCATTTATACTGCACAAACTCCTAAAGGGGACATATTGTGTAGGAAAATCAGATAGTCAATGACATCCATTAGATTTTACTTTTCCAAGGCTTTAAAGTTTGGTTCTACTTTGAACCATGACTATATAAAAGAAACTTCTTACTCATCAGATCTGCTTCCTGTGAATATTCAACACCATATATGCCTACTTTACAGACCAATTTTATTTTACTGCCACTATCCCAGCAAGAGCCAACACAGCTATGAGACTGACCTGCATTCTATTCCTTCTTGTGCATCAACCAAAGTATTTACCAAGTATTAATTGCAGAGCACACTTATTATGGTGAACAACCTCAATAAAAACAAACTATGGGGTTACACAACTGTCTGACACCATAATTTAGCCCAAACTTTTTTTAACAGCTGATAACATGCAAGAAGGAAATAACCACTTTCAGATCTTAGGCTGAGTTTATAGGGTTGGCAGTTTCTCAAAGCTTTTTTACTTGTACACAGCGTACATCTAATGTGGAAGCTTTGAGGATAGATAAAGATTATCATCAAAAAATTTTAAATCAATTTTTAAATGTAATAATATTTTAAACAATCCTTTAAGTTGCCAAAATAAATGTTTGCTTGTGTCTTAAGTTTCCTAGTTGTTAGCAGAATTTCAGATTTTACACAGATTCTTTTCTATGAATCGTCACACTTAAAATGCCCACCTATGCTGAAAATGGCACATTCAGAGTCTGATTAACATCTTTACTGAGAGAATACAAACTCAAACACAAAATTGATAAGCAAGTAGCCTGGTCTTTATGCAACCAACACTGCCTTCTAATATATGGAATATCCACAAGTCAAGAAAACTCAAAGACTCCAACCAGGCTATACTCCATCAGGGTTTGCAGTTTGAAATCAATGGGACTTCTGCTCTTAAGACACTAGAGTGCTGAGAAAGTCCCAATCTTAAGCGTTTAATTTTAGGTCCCTGTTTTTGAAGATTTTGGCCTGTGTGTACAAAAAAAGTTCACAACAATTTTGTTGAAAGTCTAACTAACTTGTTATTATTAACAGTAAGGCAATTTCATTTTCAAGTATTAAACATTTTATGCTACTAAGAAAAGTCTGAAATAAAAATACAATTATTGCCCCTGTTGCTGCAAACACTTATTCACAAGCATGAGTAATCCCACTGAAATCCATGGGACTAGTCACACAAGTAGTGTTTGCAGAATCAGGAACTTAATTTTCAATATTTTGTTTTGCACCTACAGCAGTTCTGTAAAATTAAAATAAGATACCTTACCAGTAGTGGTCGGTCATAAAAACGGGAAGCATTATAAATTTTAAACTAAAGGTGCAATTGCAAAAAAAATTCAACTTACGTGTGTTAAGATTTTTTTTTAAATCAACATATTTAAATCATGATTTAATCATTGATTTAAAGTACTCTACTCTGACTGAGACACAATAGAGATGGAAACCCACATCATTTTTACAAAGTCACTTTTTAGTTTTAAATGTGTATATTTAGTTTGTATTCTGGAGAGAGTATTTCAGTGGGTGTCAGTCTTAATGTTAGTTACAACTCCATATCAACCTCATACTGTAAATAAATCAATGGCATTATCCAGTTTAACAAGCCAGGTTTCCAAGCAGCAGGAAAGTAGGAATCTACTTTTATTCCTAGGTAAAGCACAAAGTACCCAAAATGAAGCCAGCACAGTATCATCTCATCTAGATTAAGATAGGACAGAAGTGTTACAGAAGTTCCCATTCTGTGCTGAGGGACACCCCCAAAATGATTATGTAATACAGCTGTATTTAGTGGTGGCATTGGGGGTTGTAATCTCTTTGTAACAGGACTGTGTGTATATAGCACCTGGAACAATACAATACAATTCTGATTAAAACAGTGCCCAGAGTCCTCATTATATTAATGTTGACAAACTACCCTAATATAAAAGGCAAAATGTATATATCCCTAAATAATTTGAAAGAAAAATGAATGAAACAAAAAAGTTACTGAATATAAGGTTTAGCCAACTTTCTTAAAAGGGAATTACTACTACCTTGGCAGTACTGGGGACTAAAGGCCTATCCATTAAAATTAGTGCAGCATTGACAAAAACAAGCTAATTTCTTTTTCCAACCTATGTGCCCTTGTTACAGAATGACCATCTCCAGGCTCTGTCACTCATCCTTTCTGATAAAGGATGTTAGTTATGATGCTGAACTTCCATCACCAGTTCATTTTACATAGACAACTGAGTAATCAAATGATGATAACTTCTGATCACTTGCAATCTTGACTGGATATGAACTGATTAACCTGCTTCCCGTACAGTAATTTTTGCAGATTATATTCTTATTGTAATGTTAGGTTTGGCTAGTCACGAGTCATAACACTGTCCAATGGTGAAGACTTTCAGGAAGTAGGGTTGGGTTTTTTTCCCTTCTACTCTAGAGCTGTGGCATGAAACCTCCATGAAATCCCACAATGTCTCCAAAACTTCAACATCAGCGTCCTTTTTCACAGACTTTTTTCCTTCTTTATCAATAGTTACTTCTCTGCTCCTTGGAAACCCAGCTTATTGAACTGGATAATGCCATTGATCTATTTACACAAGGGCTCTCAACCTTTCCAGACTGCTGTACCCCTTTCAGGAGTCTGATTTGTCTTGTATACCCCCAAGTTACACCTCACTTAAAAACTACTTGCTTACAAAATCAGACATAAAAATACAAAAGTGTCACAGCACACTATTAATGAAAAATTGCTTACTTTCTCATTTTTACCATATAGTTATAAAATAAATCAATTGGAATATAAATATTGTACTTGCGTTTCAGGGTACAGTATATAGAGCAGTATAAACAAGTCATTGTCTGTATGAAATTTTAGTTTGTACTGACTTTGCTAGTGTTTTTTATGTAGCTTGTTGTAAATCTAGGCAAATATCAAGGTGAGTTAATGCACTCCCTGGAAGACCTTTGCATACCCCCAGGGGTACACATACCCAAGTTGAGAGCCACTGATTTACAGTATAAGGCTGATATGGAGTTGTAACTAACATTAAGGCTGAAGCCCACTCAAATACTCTTTCCAGAATACAAACAAAATATACTCATTATTTAAAACTGTAAAATTAGTGGCCTCATGGACCAAATAGGATTGTTATTCTATTGGTCAGTGGTCCCCAAACTGTGGGGCACAGAGGAACATTTGAGGGAGGAGGAAAGGGAGCACCACCCAGCCCCACTCTGCTCCCAGTGTCACTCCGGCTCAGGCCTCTACCCCCGGCTCCTGACAGCTCCCATGGGAGTTTGGGGGTGGACAGATTCCATTACGAGTAGGGGGGGTGCAACAAAAAAAGTTTGAGGACCACTGCTATAGACAGTGTTGCTTGAAAGAGCTATATACTATATTTGAAGATGGAAAATAAAGGGACGTTTGTTCTAGAACAAGATAGTTTATTTTTAAGATTGCCTCAGTGGACTTCACTCATACTAGGTCTGCAACATGGGTCACTTTTCTGAATGCTGTTGAGTTACCTATTCAAGAGGCACAACATGAGGAAAAGATTTCTTACAGGATAATTAAAGTCACATATCCTCTAAAAACAAAAAGACCAGATTGAAAATATTAGAAAAATTTAGGGGATATATTCTACATAAATAACTCAAAATATACAATTTAATTAAGCAGTGCTTGTCAAATCCACTCACCTACTTACCCTTTGCAAGCAGGAAGTGTTATCTGTCAACTATGGGAATCATGCATTTCTATAGAATTTAAGCTTTCATTTTTAAAAGAGCTTCTAGAACTTATAGTTGTAAAAGAATTATCTTCCACCTATATGGTCCTCATCCCCTTCTGAAGGTGAGTGTAGGCAGTGACTCAGCTGATGATCAGAGGTTTCCCAAAGAGCAGAGTGAAGCTGTCTTGTTAGTTTCCCTTGGGGCTCACAGGGTTCTTTAAGAGGGGCATGAAACTGACCAGTCTGGGGTTACTTTTGCTGCTTGGAAGGGCTAAGCAGCAGAGACTGGCACTGGAGTTGAGGGAGAGACCCCCCCCCCCAAAGTCCCGACAATGAGACAAGCAAGAGGGACCGTGCTCCTTTCTCTTCCAACCCGCAGCTGGGATGTGGGGTGAAGGGGGTATGGCCAAGTTTATCCCAAAGTAGGAGGAACCCCTCTATTCTCCCACGTCCCAGCGGCTGGGCTGGGCTGTTGTCCCCTGCCCCAGCGGCTGTACCCCGCCTCTGAAACTGGGCAGTGGGGCCAGCCCCCACCCCAGGCCCCCCATTTAGCCCTCTATCATTCACTCGTAGGGTCATGGCTGGCCTCTGATAAGTCAGGACCCCCAGCACTCCTCTGAGGGCAGCCCTCAGCCGCTGACCCCAGTGCGTAGAGGGAGCAGAGCCGCCTCCCCCAACTCATTGCTGACACACACCGAACTTGCACCGCAAACGCTGCGGCAAACCGGGCTCGCAGACTGGGATGGGGGGGCGGAGCAGCAGAGGGTAACGAGCCACCCGGCCCGCCACACCGCGAAGGGTCACGGTTCCGCGCAGAGACCCCCGTGCCCTCTCCCTTACGCAGAATGCGCAGCAGGGGCTCACTGGCACCTACGTGCATCCGGCTCTGGGAATAAGGCCCCTGCCTAAGGAGGTTGCAGCGCGCGCTGGGTGCGGGGACCGGCCGCTCTTACCTGCTGTCCCGGGCTCCGCAACGACGGCGCCACAGGCCCCTGCCCCAGCAACCAGCTCCACCTTCCCTACTACAGAGAAAACTGGAGCGGCGTACAGAAAGGCCCCGCCCCCGCCGCTCTTCCGGAGGCAGAGGCATGCTGGGATGGTGGCGGACCGGAGCCGGGACGGGACGGTCCCTCGCTGTGATGTAGGGCTATGGCGTTCTGCCATTGCCTGCGCCTTGACCTCCGGCTCTCTGTGACGGCATTGTCAGGCAGAACTCACGCGTGATGACGTCTCCATGTGATGTCATAGCGTGTGCATTCTGGGACGCCCAGCCTGCCGGACGTGAACATCTTTACCAATGTGCATCTTAGGAGCTGGCGTGACCTGAGCTCCCGGACGTTTCCTTTGGCTTCCCTGCCTGCCTGGCCCTCTCCTGGAGGTGGATGCGTTTAACTGGCCTGGGGCTGTGTGTAGTGATGATAATACTTTGCAGTTCTACAGCACCCTCCAAAGAGGGATCCCGAAGCCCCATAAAGATATTGCTTAACTTAGGAGACAGTCACCTTGAAATCTAATCAACTTCAAAAAAATTAGTAAAACATAGTTTCAGGTACTAAATCAGCCCCCAATCTTCCATGCTACTTTCTGTGCCTTTGCAATCACCTTTTTCTATGTTTTTTTTTAATCTATCCTCTGTTATTGTGTGAGAGATGCACAAATGGACCAGGAGAAACTAACGCTCCAGTCTGCACTACATCTGTATGTGTGGACCCCTGAGCCCATGCAGAGCTCATTGCAAGATCAGGCTCTAACTGACAATATACAAAGTGTGTCAGAGCTTTGCAAGGTTTGAATTTCTAATAATTACTGTGTTTCTTCTTCCCATTTTGCAAGTCAAGGATTTCTTTAAAAAGCCATTCTAGGCCACAAGTAGTTCACAAGTAGTTCAGGTTAGCACAAATCAATTGCAAACACTGAATATGACTATGCAGAAAGTGCTGTCAAAATGTACAGTGAAGAAACTGGAAGAAATAGGGGAAAATATGGGAGGGCAGGATGCCAACTGTCCTTAAAGGTGCAAGTATGAGGCTTCTGCTTGAGCAACAATCTCTTGACAAGAACTACCTTGTTTCAAAACTCCCTTTCTCTATCTATTGCAGAGTTTTGTACTAGCTCCTATCACCAGAGGTAGTATCTGAGCACCTTGTTATGAAAAGCATTGTTCAGAAGGTTACGGGAAGCAAGACAATGCTAGCAAAATCTGAAGTCTGGACCTCAGTAATTTTGATTTCAGGCCTGGAAAAGATACAGGAATCATAGCGTAGTTTCACTGGTTAAACATCTCCTTCTTACAATGGATGAAGATCATGTGCCTGTGCCATTCTTTTAGCTCTGTCATCAGCTTCATGTACCATTAACCATAAGGTATCATTCACACACCTGTGGTCCCAGGTAGATTAAGTCACACTTGAGTGGCTCTGTTCCTTCTTTTTTGGAAGATTCAGGAGGTATTTAGGGGTGATAATTTATCTGCTTTGAGAGCTCACGCATGCAGGTTACCATAGTGTTCTGTCTTGTCGGCCCTCTTGTTCCAGGTATGTGAAGCCATTAAGAGAGTTAGGCTACAGTCCTGAAACTGCAGCCACATGGCTGGACCCACTGCACCTGTATGGAGCCACACTGGAGGATTTAACTCTCCTAACAGTCTAGCATACATGTTGAACAAGAGGGCTAACAAAACAGAACACTAGTAATATCATTAGCTTAGACCAGGGATCAGCAATCTTCAGCACACGGCCCAGAAGGGAAATCTGCTGGCGGGCCGGGACGGTTTCTTTACCTGCAGCGTCCGCAGGTTCGGCCGATCGCAGCTCCCACTGGCTGCGGTTTGCCGTTCCAGGCCAATGGGGGCTGTGGGAAGTGGCAGCCAGCACATCCCTTGGCCCATGCCGCTTTCTGCAGCCCCCATTGGCCTGGAACAGCAAACTGTGGCCAGTGGGAGCTGCGATCGGCCGAACCTGTGGACGCTGCAGGTAAACAAACCAGCCTGGCCCGCCAGAGGATTTCCCTGATGGGCCGCGTGCCAAAGGTTGCCAATCCCTGGCTTAGACCAAGGTAAAGATACCACTCCTTTCAGGGAAAGGAATAGAGTGGTAGCAAATGACAGCAGGGTGGAGCCAGGGCCAACATTACAGAGGAGCAAGCATGGCAATTGCCCAGGGCCCCACGCCACAGGAGGCCCAGTGTGGTGGGGCTCAGGCTTCAGCCCTACGCTGTGGCATTCGGGCTTCAGCTTCAGAAATGTTGCAGAAATCCAATGTGTGAGCAGGTAAGGGATGCGGGGTGGGAGCCCACTCCTTAGTTTCTACCCTAGGCCTCAGCGAGTCTAATGCCATCCCTGGGTGGAGCCATACCATTTAGAGTTGAAGGGAAAAAGCTGCCTTGGTCTGATTTCTAGCTCCTCAGTCGCCAGCATTTATTCTTCTCTCCCACACTCGTTCTTTTATTTCAAGACTGCAGCCACTGGGAAGTTTGCCAGTGACATCCAGGAACACAGCACTATCACTGTTTTTTATATATATAAAATACATTTTTTCACAAAGTACAATGATTCCTTTATCGTCTAGGCAATTACATACCTTCCCTTTGCATATATTGTAAAGTGTACCATCAGCAATTGCCAGTATATCACCAGTATAGTTTTAAGGAAAGAAAAGACTTTTACAACCAACATTCTGATGTGAATGGTGTTTTATAATTCCTGATACACAGACTCTTCATTTTTAAAAAGTGCACAATATTTTATTAAATCTCTCCTATTTCATTGCTGCAACAGATTATTTCATATCTTGGGGTGCATTTTTATACAGTTTTTCAGTATATACATCACCCAGTACAGGTTACATAAAAGCAGTCATCTTAAGCCTTTTGAGCCATAATTATAGCCACAGTGAAGACATTTTTATACCAATTATAATGGTGCTGTCTACCCTAGAAATAATAGTCAAAAAAATCTCCAGAAGAATTAATTAAAGATATAAAAACTCTGAGTTGTTTTCTAAAATTAATTCAGCAACTCTAGTTATCTCTTCTATGGCAGAATGTTGAGAACTTACAAAATGCTACAATACTCATCATATTTCTGACCAGAAAACAATTGGAGGAATATGACTTGGGCATATTCAAATTTCTTCTGACAGTAGTGCAAGATTTTAAAATACTATCTCAAGATAATTCAGCCATTCATAACCATTTAACATATATGCAAAACTCGGGATGACATCACAATTTTTAAATCAATAAGCAAACTGCTACAAAATGCCTCCAGATGAAATTATGACTCAAAGACTTCTGGTCAGAACACTGAACAAACTTCTGAAAAACCAGACAGGTGTCAACTCTATATGTGACAGTGTAGCAATGTCTGTTGGTTTAAGCACCCTGCCACTCAGTGGAATTCAGAGCTCCAAATTAGGCATTCAAATTCCATATACAATACATGGGACAATTTAGAAGCCTAACAACAGGATTCACAGAAGACAGCAAGATGAGTAGGGAGCCACCTAAGCTAGCCCATAGGAAATGCCAAAGAGAAGGCTGCTGTAGCCTAAGCCCTTCCCTTCCTCAGAGAGTTAGGCACTTAGTTCTGGGCTGGAGGGAAGCACCTCCATCTACTCAGAATGTACAGCTGTGAACCATCTTCTGGAGTTAGGCACCTAAGTCAGGTCAGCTCTTCCTCAGGCAAAACTAAAGCAGTATCACCACTGCCTTATCACCTCTAGCCAGAGCACTCAGGCTGTAGTAGATGCAGGTTCAAATCTCCACTCTGCCTGCCGGGGAACAAGTTCTTGAACCCACTTCTTCCAGGTGAGTGTCCTAACCACTGAGTTATA